AATATGCCCTATTAACCTCTGGTCAGTATTATCGGTTTTTGCAAAGTTCATGGCACATGTTCGCGGCTAGCGACCACTCAATGTGCGTGTGGCACGTGTACACGTGACATGTGTACGTGTGCACCCTACTACGTGAACGGACTGACCAACAGGCGGAAACGGGTGAGCTATTGGCCCTAATCCTCAGCGGTCAATTTGTAGAGTTGCTCAATGCTACAAAGAGGGCAGTTTGTGGGCAGGTAGCAGGAGCTGCTACTCGTCTCGGTCTTAGAACTTATAAAACTGCCTTCCTCTTCTAAACAGACGAAACGATGCCTCTGCTGAAATTCTTTGAAAGTGGCGGTTTCAGTCCACAAATCTGGGAACAACGCCTTGAATGGCAAGTGAAGTCAGGAAGTGCGACTTAAGGAGCCCTTCAGAACGCAGTTTCGTTAGGAGTTTCTCTCATGAAATTAACCAATACACCATATACAGAGTTCCATCTTTCTGAATTCGTTGTGCTGAATGAGGCTTTGGCGTATATCAGTGATAGTTCACGAGGATAGGGAACCTGAATGGACCGCTGAGAAATCACATGCCAAAAACGCTCAAGAAGAGTGATGGGAGGAACACAGGCTTGGGTTCGTGGCGTGGCCACAATGACCATAAATCAAATTAGGGACTGACTCTGAAATTATACTGTGACAGTAAGAAATGCATATTTTCACTGCCTCCATTTATGGCAGACGAACGTTCTTGCCAATCGAACACCAGAGCAGTTGCAGTCACCTTAAGCAATACCTGCAAAACACGTATGAACATTGATTTCGAATTTCTTTGAGTTATCCGCCATTTCTCGTTCGAAAGCTCGTTATTTCTCGACACATGTGCAGCTCGCAAACGAAGGCTAAAGTACAGTAGGTCAGATTTCGGTGCGAAGTTGGGCGAGTATAGTGATCCGCTACAGTAGCCGTGGAAGTCAATCATACGCATTGAAACGGTCGACTAACGACGTTCTGGTAACCAAGATTATCAGACCTCTTTATGTTCTTTAAAGCAGTTCCATGTAGGAGAGGTGCGCTCCAATCATAAAACTCAATAGAAGGATTGGTCAATATTTATAGTAATCTCAATCGAAAGCATGACGAAATGTTTCTTTTTCATACTGTCTACGTTTTGAACAGGCGAATATGATTAGTGGGGTATCATGGGACTAACTCTATGAAGTTACACCTCGCTAATTGAATAATTTAGTTGTCAAATTCAACTTCACAAAAAATTTCCCTCAATTTTGGAGTAATAACGGCAACCCACATCAACTACCAGGAAACATATATCTTCGAAGTGAGTGCTTACATTCCTAAAAGAGTCTGCTGACATTAGTTTAAAACATAAAAGCAACTTCCTCGAATGCCATGCTAGATGTCTATGCTGGATGGCACAGAAAAAAAATAGTGACCGGTCCACCTATTCTTGACTATCTCGAGTGACCGATGACCGACACATGCAGGCGATTTGACTTCGTGCCTTCGTTAATAAAACAAAAAGTGACCTTCGTACGTCTAGCATCACCAATCACAGTGCCACAAAGGGACCTCACAATTCAGAAGATTGCGGAAATGGTACAAGACCCTTGAGTTATTTGCTACAGTTCACTGAACCACAATGCAGGTGTCAATAAATGAGTTCCATACTCGACCGTCCATCGTCACGTCGAACGTTGAACTTATGTCTGAAGAATGCGCATGATCGGCTTTCGTCAGGTCAACGTGTCGTAGTACGGTCACTCGGACGTAGTTGAAATTTCGAACGTCCATTTTTGTCATTATTTCAGATGCACCGTGAGACCCGGAGGCAGTTTGCCTATGAGAGCCATCTACGCTGACGATCGTATCTCATGCGACTATAGAGAATCCGGTTCGCAAGTCACCTACTACAGCCGGGTCAAGGTTCCGTCCACCCTTTCCAGCATGCTGTGCTACGGTTTCGATGATCAGAGGCCAGGCCCGATGAACAGCTTTACGGTTAAAAACCACCTTCAAAATCATAATATAATTGAAAACAAATGGAAGGGCGAATTCGACGCTTCACAGTCCAACTATTTTCTCGCTAGTCAAGGTTTTACGGCAACCGGTCTTCAGTGGCTAATGGTCGGAAGGGGCGGAAATCACGTATTATTGCCACTATCATCGTTTATCACGAAAGCTCGAAATTTCGTTTGGCGATTTTCTTCTGCGAATAATGGACCGGTCAGAATCAGCTGCATCATGACTTCGGTGTTATCGTTCTGAAAATCCTTTTAGCACGTCAACCTCCATCTTAGTGAGAGATTATATTTAAAGACGTAAAGGACGATCGGGCATCAAAGTGCATCACCAGCAAGACCATGAAAAAGTTGAAACTGCGGCCGACCATGTCTTCTGTGAGCCACTGGTGTGTCTGCTTCAGAGTAGATCGCCCTGGATTACGTCATGTGATTGGACAATAATTTACACATTTGACGACAAGTAATAATAGTGAAGTAAGCAGGAAGGAGGCAACGAATTCTAGAATTCAAAGCGTTGTTCAGGTGAGATCAGCAGATGAAATACTCATTCTCATGCACTTACTGTAGTAACCAGCAAAGTCAAAGGGCTGGTTCTGTGGTAACTGAAATTGTGCCGTTGTGCATTAAATAAAAAACATTTTTAACCTATCAGGAATATCCGGATTACAATTAATTTTATGCCTCTGGCTGTATTCATCCTTTACTATGTTAGATGTTGTTTAAACCGCTCGTTGTAGATCCTCATAACCATTTAAGAATCCAGTCACGTTCCTTAAAATTCGAGTAATACCTTTACGAGGACTTTACTTTACTTTTCAAAAGGAAACAAACCTCACCTTCTGTTCAAAAAAATGAACATATCGCGTGTAAGTTTGGAATACGTTATTACACCGGTTCTATAAGGTTCTGACCGTCCAAATCGTCATTTTTTAATATCAGCCACTGAGCAATTTCCAAGTCTTTTTTGGTCCTGTCCAGAGACTTCATCCTCTGCTCAGATCGCAGACTGCATGATGAAGTTTTACATGTTTTCTTCAAAAATTAATAGAGACTGTGGTCTCTAATCCTTCATCCTGCAAAGGGAGTCATCAGAAAGGTGGCTGGCGACAACTTGAGCCTTATGGTCCACTGTATGGCCAAAATGTATGACGGTATAACGTGATTTTGCGGTGTTATTCCATAAAGAGTTTTGCAGTTCTGCACTTTACGTCCACACAATGATTCATTTCCGGTTTTGATAATTTAGAAACTAGTATAAAAAACTTAACAATCGCGTTATTCCTGAAATTCGTCCTGGTTTAAAATCGAAAAATGATTTACCGCCATCATGTCACATACAGAAACAGGCCACTGGTGGTAATGTCCATACGGCGTTGATGACCAGCATAGAGTCATGTCCGGTCAGAGTGCAGCTGAAGCAGTGCCGACTCAAAAACATGTTGGCCGGCGCTTTTCGCCTCACCTCCAGTGGCGCAAACGGCAGCGATGATGACTTACACATACTGACCTACGGATTCTGTGTCCACCACTGATAAAGCACTGTCAAACCGGATTGGCCGTGATCGTCGGTACAGAGGTTAACATTAACCACAAGCAGCCAAGAACGCGCGATAACCACGATTCGCTGACCGAGTCACCAAAGGCTCGACCACGACCGACGTTTCGACGCGAGCCCACGGACGACTGCATGCGTTTGCATTCCCGAGGCCCGAATCATTTTGATGGCAGGCATTTTTTTGAACCCTCATATTGCATACGGAATGAGTTAGTTGCATGACGAAAGCGAGGGTCGCTATCAGCTGTGACTCGACAGCGTCAGCGCAACCTCGCTAGGTCTGCAAGCATAACATATTCATAAGCGAATCGAATCATCTGCTACCCCCGACATCTGTCCATCTGCGTTCGCCCACACCACGATGCAGGCAACGTGGCAGACTGAATGGTTGCTAAACGCCGATGCTGATGATTTGGTACTTCTTTTGCGGTCTCACAGGCGATGCTGACGAACAGTTGTATTAGAGATGTCCTTCGTCGAAGAATTCTGTAATATCTCTTACCAAAATGATGTTCAGGTACATTCGGGAAATGAGCACATTTTGTTCAGTGCCTCACATCAACCTTCGGCTGATGTGAGGTAGAGAGAAATGCCATCAGTGAAAGTGGAGGAAGTTCAAACGACCTCACGGCAAATCGCCATCTCTCGGTCCACCTCCGCTGTCTGATGTTGTCAGTCGAGAGCGGAACGCGCCACCAAGCACCAATACCACCGTGCTCTTATTCACTGATGAATCGCGTATTCAACACAGTCGTCGACATTCTTCACCGGCGTTATTCACTGGCCCAAGGTTCCGCGCTCGCGCACAAGATGTGGCCATTGTTGCATGTAGTCGATAATTCCGCAACTATTACAAGTTTATTCAATGCTGCGGCACTTTCGTTTGATGACGACTGAAGGACTCTCAGGGCAGCAGGTAACCCGATTTGCAATGGCGAAGCCAAATCGGTGTCAGGGGGAACAGCCGAGGGAAAACAAATGAGAAACGAGAAAGATAACAGAAAAGGCAAATGAGAACAGAAGAAAAACAATATGAGTGAGGACGATGAGAACAGATGAAACAGAAGGAGGAATCGAGTGACAGAAAAGGAGAAATCGGAAAGAAGCCGCAGCAGGAGATATTAACTTATAAGCAGAAGTTAGGAGTGAAAGAAAAACCATTCAGTTTATCTTGCGTGGGACTTGATTTGAAAACTACCACCGCTTTACAATCGGTCTCTTTCGTACTAACTATAAAGCAGAAAAACCATGTATTGGCGCTTGAATATAGTGAAGCTGCTGATCGCATTGTCATGTTGGAAGGTTTTCCGCATCCCGAGCTGGAGATATAATAACAGCGATTGTTGCCACGACTGTACACGGATTGCTACGGTGAATATTTTTATTCCATAAGGAAATGGTCAGCCTTTCTGAAGCTTGCAATGCAATCACAAATCATGTTTATTTCTGAAAAGTGATCGTGACGTCACGCAAGTAATCACTTAGGCAAAAATGTGAAGTAGTTGCGCATATTTATGAACGACTCGAGATACGATCGCTCAGTTGTGAATTCGATGAGAGCCTGTGCAAAAAGAAAGTGCATAAAACTAATATCGACGCCAAGACATTCAAAGCATGGTCAGCGTTTTCTTTATACAATGCAACGAACGTCCTGAGTGAAGTAATTTTCTATCCACTGTTTCGTTGTCTGCCATGCAGGAATTAAGATGTGACATTTTCCAGCACTTTCTAATCAGCTCAATCACTAAATCAAAATTACAATGAAATGGCTGGCCAATGCTGGCCGATTGTCCCCCCCCATAGTCCGGACAGGAAGAATATTTTATCAGAATCCAGGAGAAATTGGGACACAAAACAGAGGAACAAAATACTTGCAAACACACAAGACCCTCAGGGCTTGAAGAATGAAAAAGTAAAGATTCAACTGATTAACGATGGTAACGCTATTGTTGTGCTGACAAAGAAATGTCTCATGGGAATGTAACATAATGGCTGATCTTCAACAAAATGCAGGTTTATTTCCAGGGCCATGTTTTGAGTTTCCGTATTGAACCCTGTGAATATAGCGGAAGAAAGAAAAAGCAAATATATAAAGTTTTTAGTTGATGGTATGTTCTATTTTTTTACATTTCCATGACGCTACTCTTTTTCACAAAAAACCACGATACGGAATTGCTGAGTTTCCTTGTGATGTCATGAATGAAGAGTGGCATAATTCTTGAAAGCAATATGCCCAGTCAGGCAATCATGCTTACACATAATTTTCTGAGGTAGACTTCCTTTTCCTCACATGAAAAGGATCACCTCCCGGCCGGCAATCGTCAGTTAATCGAGCCGTGCGTAATGCTTTGAGCTGCCATAACGCATGAAGTTCTGCCATCCGCAGGCAGGGCTGAAGGTGGCCTGGGGAACTGCGTACAAATTATCGAAGTCTTCTCTTCTAGTCTTCGACTGACCGACGTCTAACCGCAAGGAATAATCACATGCATTTTTGACCTCGAGAGGATGAAGGCAAAATGTACGACTCGAAAAAGGTTGGAGTCTGCGATTTCTGCCACAAAATCAGTACAACCACTCTGAATAGGAAAGTACAGAGGAAAATGAGAAACTGGCCACGGTCGAATAAGCCATGATGACGTCTTATAATCGTTGAAATGAAGCCACCATTCTCGGTACAGATCGGTTATGGAGAATCGATACAAATATTACCCACCGAACAAAATTTACAATGGGTATCCCGTTAACAAAATATTTATGCTGCTTCATATGGAGACAATTATTTTTTACCCGATATCGGTATCGGGTGTAAAGTTTGTATTTGATTCCTATTGAAAGCTATGTACACTAAAACAAGAGTGAATGACTCTTAATATGGTCCCTCAGATGTGCATCAAGGTTGAGTAATTTGGTACTAAATAATCTGACATAGCAAGCTGTAGTCTGAGCAATCGCATATGCGATTTTTATCATGATAAAAAACATCTGCAAACCAGTCAGTTTCGATGAACGCTTACCGTATTGGTTCGCTGAAGCCCTGTGTCAGACAGTATCTCTAGCGTTGCCGATCCTCTGTCAGCGTCTGAGATTCGGCGGAACATAGTTCGCGTCTACAGCACACTTCCAGAATATTCTCGACTTTTCCATGGGGTTTCAGCCGGAAGGTCGAGAAAGCAGAAACTGCTTCTCCTTCGTTTCTGGTACGTGCAAAACCCATGGCTGTAGTCGCAGGTGAATACTCTGCAGAGAATCTGGAGAAGCAGTGACTGTACAACTAAGATCTCTTGGACCTCTCTGCTGCCTCCCATGACGATACGTCAGCGCTTCATCTCAGAAGGTCCATTGCAGTCGCATTCCGTCAGTACCCCGGATTGAGGTTTTTCAGTTATTACACACAACTCATTACCGTATGTGAAGTTGGTCATGAAGATCAACATGAACACAGACAGCTTCGTCTAGAGACTCAGCTCTGCCTTATTCGCAGCAAAACCTTTCAGCTGAAAAACATTTCGTCTCCTTTCTACGAGAGACATGCAAAATGCTTCTCACACTGTACGTCCTCGAATAGTGATGATGAAAAATCTGATCACTTACATCTGCATACTCAGATATTCCCGTTCAGGACCTCTCCCTCAAACCAGCAGGTGGGCTTCATAATTACTATCTGCAAGGGACTCTCAAACGCCATACATGTCCATAGAAGTCCTTTCAGCGGTAAAATCATAAGGTACAATTTTTGCTTCAATCATTCAGAGGTGACAGCTTCGACAAATACTATCATACTAATACGTGACCGGATATTCGCCATGCCGGTGCAGTGGATGCAACGACGCACCAGGGCGTCAGACAAGAGGCTTCGAAGAACTTTGCCGACGTCGTTGTCGTCGGCACTTGGCAAACTCTAGGCGTCACTGTGTACAGTATTCACCGTCTGGAGATTTTCGAAATTCATTCTCTGGCCGGCAGTTGTTAAGCAGCGTTTCTGAATTCAAGCGTAAGCACAGCAAATCACGTCTTCTTTTACCGTTCAATCCACGCTCAATACAACAGCCATCTGCTTCAAACATTCAGCTACGCGCAGGCACAGTATGATCACCATTGAAAGTGTCAGAGCGTAATTTAGCATTAAGCTAATTATGATTTTAAGTAACCCACAAGACACACTCAGTGAAATCGCCTATCAGAAGGACGGATTCACACGTCGACACTTCGTACAGAACACCTTGTACTTTCTTCAGATATGAATCATATTTTTGTACAAGGCTTGAGCGTTGACCTGTAACAAGTCAAAGCTTTAGTCGGTAATAACTTCAGTCCGAGGA